GTGAAAGCGCACCTTCCACAGAAACGGCATCGGTTTGCGCGAGAGCGCGACGAAGATGGGCACAAGAGTGTCATTATTTTAACTCATATTAACGCCATAGTTAGTTTTATACAAGATGTTTGCGCGTAATATTGAGTAATGAGCGAGCGGAGGCTCTCAGGAGACCGTTAATGTTTGTCCTCGTCTAAAGTTGATCACTGAAGTTGAAGTAAGGTTAGCTTAGCTAGCATCTCTCTCTCTGCTCGGCTCGATCCTGAGGAAAATATGGTGTCCTGGATTATATCAAGATCTGTCGTGTGAGTTTAATCCTCATTTTTTCCATAAATGTAGTTTATTTTTGAACCTCGGGTTAAATTAAATTGGCTCTTTATTTGACTGGTTTGCCTGTTAGCGTCCGTATTCCGAATACTGCACATTGAAGATTGTAAAAGTAGCTAACGTTAGATTTATGATCTTCTCAGCCCCGTGTCTGCTCTGATTGTTTAATCCAAGCGCTTTACTGTTTCTAAACATGACTTTTGGGAAGGGTATTTGTTATTTGGAAGATAAGATGCACTCTTTAAATGTTCAGAAGCAGCAAGCCAGTGTTTTTATGTGCACTGGATTGCTGTATCAGAGGTTTTTATGTCAGTAGTGAAATTATTAATATGGCAGTGACGTGTCAATTCATATTTTAGTGTTGACTCCTTGTACAAAAGTTTTGTTGGGGCTTTTGGGTTGGGTGGAGCTGTCATAAGGTTCTGACTCATCTCAGAACTTTTCCTCTCCTTTATGTTAACGTGTGGTGAATGTCATTCTACAGGCCCGAACACATACAGAAAGACTTAACCAGGAAATAAAACAAAAAAAAGTTCTTAGTTTAGTTCTTTCATATCATGTCTGTCACTATGTGGCATCAAAATTAAATTGGTGGGTCCATAAAGACCCAACACTGCTGTTCAACAAGAAACAACATTGTTTGCAGGTAACTTATGTAATGTTTGCATTTTTTTCCCCATCTATTGATTCTCAAGTGTGTAAGCATTTTAAACATAGCAGTTAGATGTAGCCTAAACCAAAGTACAATACATTTGCACACATTTAGATTGAATTTTGCACAAATATATTGAGACGAGGCATATTCAGACTGTTGTGTCGCATGTAGAAATGATGCTAGAATTAATAACTATATTAATTCATAATAAACAATTAGTTCTGTAAATCGGTTATTAAAGATTTCAACAAAAATAGTCAGTATCAAATAGGGCTGTGCAAAAAATCCAATGTGATTTTCATGCGCATCTCGTCAGTAAAGCCGCTCCTGTGATTAGTAGTAAATCTCCAGCACGTGCTTTCAGATGGAGCGGCATTTACTACACAGAGCCGTAGTTCACTGACAAGCTATGCAAAATCGCATTCAGAATCGGCAATGAATCGCCTGCGATTTTGTGTAGCTTGTCAGTGAACTAGAAGCACGAGATGGAGATTTACTACTAATCACAGGAGCAGCTTTACTGAAGAGATGCGCATGAAAATCACATTAGATTTTTTTGCACAGCCCTAGTATCAAACCTTTACTACAAATAGAACACATTTGGCTCTAGGTTTGGAAAGATTTGAATGATTGATGATGTGTCTGTCCTTGTTTGGTAGCTCATTTGCAAACAGCAGAAAGAGTATCATTGTAGTTTATTTTGTGGGCAAGACACATTTTGCGATGTGGTTTCCTTACAGCGTCCAGGAGTCACTGGCAAGCAGTTATGCTGAGTTCACACTGCACGATTTTTCACTCGCCGACAGGTTTTGCGAAATCGCAGACAAATGCCCGAAATCGGAGGCAAATCGGTGCTCGTTCACGCGAGTGACAATCACGCAGTGTGAATTATCAAAGACGTGATCTGAAGGAATCGCAGACGCCCGTGAAATATTTGGCATGCTAAATATCTGGAGCTGTCGGAGATTCACAATCACGCTGTGTGAAATGAGTTCTGACTGAAAAACACATCGGCGATGACCTACAGCCAATGAGAGACCAAGATACAGGGCAGCGGGAAGATCGGGGAGGAGTTATATGAAACGTAGTTTGCGGACCAGTGTTGCCAAATCCGCGATTGCCGCCGGTTGTTTTTTTATGTCAGCAGGTTGAAGCGACCCCAATAATGTGATGTTTAGGCCCTGGAATGTGAATTGTACCAGGAGAACCCCACCCAAAAAAATTAGTATTTTACCCCCGAATTAGATTTTTACTGGGGGACCCCCTCTTAAGCAATTGGGCTATTTTCAGGCTAGTTTTGAGTAGTAATTGGGCGGGTTTTGTAGCGAAAACCTGGCAACCCTGCACCAGACAGAGCTGTCGGCGATTGTAAAGTCATGCAGTGTGTAACCTCCTGTCGTCGTTCCATCGTGCAGTGTGTGAACAGCAACAACTGAATGCTACCCCAGATAGTCGTTCAGTGTGAAACCAACAGTGATGCGACGTCTTTGAAAATCGTGCAGTGTGAACTCGGCATTAGGAAGAGACATAGTCAATCATAGAAACCAGCAAGTACCAATTACAGTCCACCTTGCTAGTTTAGGGTTATAATTCTGTGGTTAGGATTTTACAACATATATGATGTAGAAGTTCAAATATAGGACAGTAACTGTAAGATTGTGGCAAGATGATGAGAAATCAAGACCACATTGTCTGTTTGAAATGCTGCTGTGTGGGCTTATATGCGTAGACACTTTCATGGCTGTTTTGTTTTCCAGCTTTGTCTTTTTTCTAATTGAAGATTTAAAGCACTATGTATGTGAATACCCAAAACTGTAACAGATCTTTATAATGCACTATTTAGAGCAGGTAAATGTTAATGTTGAGGAGAAAATATAGAAATGTCTGTTAACTTCGTTGGCTTTATAAGCTGGTCTCGGAGAACAGGTTTGTCCTCATTTTCTTTGATCAGGATCACTGTGGTGTTTATGTATAAACTACAGGGATGTTTTTCTGATTGCTAATTAGGGCTGGACGATATGGCCAAAAGAATTATCATGATAACATTTTACTTATCAGTAGATATCAATAATTATCATGATCAATTTCAAATCTTTATTTCTTTCAAGTTAAGGCAGATTTTTGCTCCCAAGTGAAAGTTGTAGAAATCAGACTGTGAATTGTGGTTTTAAACTGCTCTTTATGGTCAGAACATGACAAACACTTAACGTTTTTGAATTGTTTACACTTTTGCAGTCATTTTTCTTTAAAAAAAATATCTTAATAGAATTTTTTTTTTCTTAGTTTCTGCATTGAAAATCTTTTTTTTTGTCTCTTAGAAACACATTTGACAGTTGCTTGAGTTGACAGTAGAAGTAGCTTGAGCTAGGATGCAGATGTAAATTTATGTTCATTATAACAAACAGTAACATCTGTAAAAATTGTAACCACCTCTTTTTTATATGGTGAAATTTAAAGGCTTTAAAATCATATGATGCTGCTAAAAAGAACATTATTTTGTGTTTTGGTCTAATGAAATGTGTTTATGCGTTTTACACATTATTTTCCACACACTGTACATAATTGTTTCTCCTCTATGCCCCTCCTTTCTGAAACGCGTCGATTTTTACAAAGCTCATCGGTCTGAAAAAGCGAGGTGTGCTGTGATTGGCCAGCTATCCAGTGTGTTGTGATTGGCCGAATACCTCAAGCGTGTGACGGAAATGTTACGCCCCTTACCATATTGTGATGATGCCCTGTCAGGCCGGAGCGATGATTCAAAAACATGAAAACCCATTATAAACGTGGCATTCGTTGCATCCAGTGGGGACATAATTATGGATTATAATGACTTATACTGTCTTTTTATGCATTGCGTTGCATCGTGTCGCGTAAACATAAAACCATGTCTGCATTTGTGATCGGAGTAATGACAAACAACAAGCCTTACTCTACACTGCCCAAAAAACTCGCTTTAAATATATAAAATATAAAAACTCTTTAAATATAAAAAAACGTACTTACAGTCTTTGAGTCAGAACAGCCGGCATTGTAGTCTACTCTCCCTGGATCAGGAAACAGTCCTCCATAAAATGCACTGCACACATCTGAATATTTGGGTTGAAGTGTTCTGGAACAGTGTTGTAAATACAACTTAACCACTGATTTCTAGTCGTGTCCAGTTTTTTTAAGGCCAAACAAAGTAGTTTCGCTTTCACAACGAAACACAGCGGCACACACGGCGGCCTACAGTGAGCAGAGGCCGAGGGATAAAGTGAGGAACGGCCGGAGGGCTAGAGTAAGCAGAGGCGGTGGATTCGACAAAGGAGTGTCCGGCGGACTTGCGGCAACCACATGTGACGACCCCGGGCTGGACTCCGCTTCGTCCACGGTGAAAGCCGATCCGGGGATCCACAGCGCAAAGTTGGAGTATTTCCTCAGCAACCAGCACGGATCAGCTCCAGGCATGACAAGGCAGATATTGTCCTCTTTTGGAAGGCCAAACAAAGCAGTTTCGCTTTCACAACGAATCACACAGTGCCTTCACGACATGGCGGCGGCGGCAACAACAATACGACAGCGAGAATAAAAGTTACGCCTTCTTTCTTTGCGTGAACATTTGGGTGGCATTATGCAAATCTTCCCACATAGTGATGTAGGAATGTGGGGGCGTGTTAGAACGAGGCGTTTTAGGTAGGCGTGGTTGACTCTTAACTTTTATAAAGAATATCTCTTTGGATTTGAGACTTTAGTCTTTGCAACTTTACAGATCTTCTGTATGCACCAAGAGCTTGTAACGCTCCAAAGAGAAAGGAAAAATTTAAATTGCATCATATGACCCCTTTAATTATTCTGACAGTTTGAGTTTTATTCAAATTAACCATTGGTCTTCCATAGTAGCATACATTTAGATCATGATAATCACAGTTAAAACCTCAATACAATTGGTAAAAATGCATCTATACGGTTTCTCGGTAGCTTATTTATATGAAAAGTCTAAATACATTTAGTTTAAATGCACAAATGCTATAGCTTAATCACAAAAAATGAATTATATTCCATTACTCTTTTAATACATTTAACGCATGTCTACTTTAATAATTTAATAAAATTCAATATGAATATCTCTCATTTCTGCCACAATACCATGGTGCAGTTAGTGATACTACAGTAAATCCATGGTAAATGATGGTGATTTGTAGATTGAAAAGCCTGACTGTATCGTTGCACACAGTGTTTCTCCTGTTTGTCAGTGCCATTTCATCCGGCCTTAAACTAGTTCAAATCACTGAGTTATCTGTGTTCTTCGTTGAATTCACACTGGATCACTGTTTAGTGGTCGTG